GTCTGGTGCAAAATTACTAAGCTAGCTTACTTATAAGCTTACTGAACCTTCCTGGCAGCGGAAACCATTGGGTTAACATGGAAACATGTGTTTGAGCAATTTATATGCTTAGACATCCAGCCTGTATAGGCAGCCTATACTATGGATTACAGTGGCAAACCATCTTGAGGATAGTGCACATATGTACTCTACACCTACTGTTTCTATTGATGGTATGTCTATATGTCATCTACTGCAACGACCACGACTACGTTCGCCGGCGCATCCGCCGACTCCATCGGTCCCAGCCGCCCAGCGCAGTCCGATGGAGCGGATCTCCTCGCGAAGCTCCGCCCAGCAGCTCTGCAGGTGCGCCTCATAAAGCGAGACGGAGGGCCCCAAAGGCGAACGAACGACAAACAAGCCGTTGGGGTGGCGCAAACAAGCAGAAGGGAGACAGGAAGGAGTGGCAAAGAGGGAGTGAAACAGGTGGAAGAACTTAATTACCTGGATCTTCCAACTACCAAAAATTCTGGTAGTTTTGGTTATTGACCCGGTTTTGCGCACAAACGGCCGCAAATCAGCGCAACCGACAAAACGACCGCAAATTAGCGCAAAACGCACACAAAAAGCCAACAAACGACCACAAAAATCCGCAAAATAACAAACAACAAAAAAGCGACCAAAAATTACCATATTTTTTTGGTAGTTGGAAGGTCCAGGTAGATTGAAGTCGCCTGGAGACAACAAATTATCTTTCCTAGGATTGATAGCTAGGTGCTTGAAAACAATCTTTGGCCAGCTAGGGCATGGGCTCATCCTCAAGTATGGAACCATGTATCACCTGTTCATCTAGTCCACCGAAGAATTCTGTTTAAAGTGTTCAGGAGGCTGACAGGCTGACAGGGCTGCTTTTGCTTTGGGCTTCAGGCACCGTCCCCCACCGGGTTCAACTTCCAGCCTTCAGACAGTCGCACAGGTGGGCCGGGTGGTGTTCAGCTTGATAGGGCTCCCCACACCTCGTCCAGAGTGAGTCTGTGTCTCCCGCTTTGACGCCTCCCTTACTTCATTTGAATCCTGGAATTGAATCAATGCATTTTACATCGCTCACAAATCCAGACGCCAGTGACGCGGATCACGCCGAGGACGGGGCAGGTCGCAGCAAATGCGCGGCTGGGTATGATCACCACCCTGCCGGGCGCGAGACAGGGTTCACTGCATGGCCGTGGAGGGTTGGTTCCAAAGAGTGGTCGTAGACTAGTCAGCTGGGCCAGCTGTCATACGCCAGGACCGAAGGCACCCCCAAATTGAAAAAACATGACGGCCCCTTTTCTTGATCACCAAACAGAACCAGCTCCAGTATTTCTCATCAACAGAACATCTTCCAAACTTGATGACCAACCGGTGCCCTTACACATCCCCAAAAACGAACCATTGGGGCACCAAACAAATGGCCCCTCTTTACTGGGCCAACTGCGCCAACAACATTTGGGGCGCCGCACCACGCACACACGGCCTCTTTCGGCGCCCCGACACACACCGGTCTCAACGGTTGCCGGGCGCTCCTGCAGATCAGGTCTCAAGCGTTGCTGCGAGCGCGCCGCCACCCACGACTCGATGCAACTCCTCGGGCGGAGGCGGGAAAAAGGGATGAGTCGGGAGGCCGTGAAATCAGCCGGAAAAACAGGCAACTTGACCGGTTCAGCCGGAAATGTTGAAATTCCATGAAATTCCCCCATGGATTGAAAGACTGGTTGTGAAGAACGTTTTTCCATGTACCATCATGTCCACAGACTGCTTGCGGTGGACGACAACCTGTTTTGTATCAGAAAAACGTGTCCTCCTTTTCGTACCATTTCTCCTAAAATCACAGATCAATTCCCTGTCCCTTCTTCCCCTCAGTCTCGTCCGATCTTTTCTGTCATGTTGGATGACCTCTTTCGTCCGATCACGAGCGGCCACGAGCCATCAGTTCGCCCAGCAGCGCATGGACACCTCGCATGGAGCCACGGCACCGGCACGGAGCCACCAAAGGCTCTGGCCTGGCGGTGGCGGTCAACGACGGTTCTGGCACTGGAGGCGAAACATGGGATCCTTGAGGTATATGATTTTCATGGGACCCTTGATTTGATGGAAGTTTCATGAAGTTTAGATCATGTCATATATGATTTCACTTGATTTCATGGGAAAATTCTTTGAAGGAAATTGTTGGCGCTTCATTGATGGATCTTGATTCATGGCAGTTGAAACATGTTGGGTTTCACTGGAGGTCATGGATGCTCCCAAGCTATTTGGCACGTCATAGTTCTCAGCGGTTCTAATGATTAATGATTAATCTGCAACTGCAGTGGGTACCATGGGTATGGCAGCGTTGTGAGTATAATAACCTCGAGTCATAGCAACATATAGCAACTAATGCGTACTATATATATATAACTATAAATCCCTCAAGTACGCAGGGGCTCCAGTCTACAACATCAGGCAATGAGCAGAAATATCATAATAGCGAGATCTAGACCATGAAGGTGAAGGTGGATCCTCACCCTTGAAACCTCCTGGTACTTGAGAAGATTCAAGAAAACATGACCCAGAACAATGAGCTGGCCAGCTGTTTCTTCCTATGTTTATCTATGTTTCAAATCACGGTCCTTGGCTGTTTCTTCCATCCATCCATCCTGACAACTGGATGGATGGATGGATGGAAGTTCGGTTCGGTTCAGGAACTGATGTGGATTCCATCCATCTTCTGGAACCGACAGGTCCCCGCTGAGAGGTCGACGTCCGACCCTCTGGTGTCGGTGTCTGCGCCGAAGGACCCCAAGAGCCGTGTCCAGCCGTAGCCTCTCTCAAGTACGCAGATCCGTGTCCAAATACGGGGGACGGGCAGATTTGACGAAACCAATTGGTGGGTGTGTGTGTGTTTCTTTTTTTTACGGACCCATTGTATCCATTGTAGAGGATTGTAGAGGCAATTCAGGCATATATTTATATATATAACAGATCTTCTTCCAGTATATTCCAGTCACAACAATGGGTCATGTTTGGGTATGTCTGGGTTATATATAATAGAACACATCTTGGAGATGTCTGTGCACTGTGTGCTGCCCAACCCGCCGTCCTCGCCTGTCCGGATCTCGGCAAACCCAGCAGATCGCTGGACCCTCTTCGTCCATCTCGGCTCCTTCGGCCCCAGTTGCTGTGGGAGCCGCTGGCGGGTCACCAAGTGGTCATGTTCTTCATCCTGGAAGCCAACTGACCCCTGTTTTGATAGGAAGTTGGGCCATATTCCGGGTGGTTGGTGGTCCACTAAGTTGAGGTCATTCAGGTTCTAGGATGTTGCATGCGCTGGCTTTAAGATGTGCTCTGTGGCAAATCCACCTCACGTGTCTGAGGATCCACCTGCCGATGATTTGATCTTTCAAACATCTGTCCATTCTCCTAAAAAAGCAGTCTTCATTGGACAAGTCGAGTGTTGCATGACCGCGCGGGTATGACACAAGTGATTCAACATGTTTACCATCTAGCCAATCTAGCCATGTTATAGCTTGATTGCAAACCGCAGCATGTCTACCTTGCATCGTCGACGGCAATCCCTTCATTCAGTTACAAGCTATTCTGAAGCCCGCATCCTTGCACGAAGTTTCATCACAAACATCCCTTCTAGGTCCTAGCAGTAGGCACTCCCTCTAACGCTTGTCTTTGGCCAGCCACGTCACTCCATTGTGCCACTCTCACATGTTGTTTCTCCCAAACTTCTCAAAACAAACTTTGCTCGTCTCCGAATATGTTACTATACTTCAGGCAAACGATATGACTCTGACTGTTACACGTGTTCAAATTCATAAAACACTGTTGAGTCGGCTGGAAAAGCAAATGAAGAAGTTCATAGAGAAGTTGCAATTCTTGTGGCAGGTGTGGGACGGTGAGTGATCACACCGTTGAAAACTATAGTAATCAAATTGCTTCCCGATGTGAAAAATGACTGCAGGTGTAGGATTCTAGGGGAAAGGGTCGCAGTTATTGGATGAGTTTGAATTTCAAGATGCAACTTTTGTTTGGCCAGTGTACTGCAATTGACCACTATATATATATATATCACGTCACTAAATGATACCACCAACCAACGGAAGGTTTTAAAAATGCTAAAAGGATGTTCAATTCAAATTTTCGATTGTTGAATCCTACAGTAGTTCTGGTGAGGGCTCACTTCTGAGACAAGCTCACTTCTTCCCTTTCCGTTTTGCCCAAGGCCTCCGGCTTGACTGTCAGCCGCCATGGCCGCATAAGAAGTTGACACTTCTTCACCACTGCGTTGGTTTTCTCTTCCCCAAAGCAGGGGAAACAAGCACTGGTTTTTGGTGGTTCTTCCACCCAGATCAGGAACATATGTTCAGAATCGGGTGCACAACCAAAGAGCAACTGTGATAGACCTGTCTGTGGCTAGTACGCCACCAGAATCCGTGCAAATGGGCAATAGAATGCTCCAAACCATGGTGAACTCTCTATCTTCTGGGTGCAAGTATGTGAAGTGGCATGCAACACATTGGCATAGAAAGTGGGATTTCGTGACAGGGGGGCATCTCCAATTTTTGTGGGTCTCATCAGCCCCTATGATCACAGTGCAATCCTTAAAGGATCTACAGGACTGCACCTTTCCCTGCCTCCAGTCATCCCCTCGCATGTGTTGCTTGTTTTTTCATTTTGTGCTCTTTGATCTTCCGTTTATACATGGCAAGATCCACTTTTTTGTGCGGCGAATTGCGTTGAAGTGCCCATGCCATCAACGTGGAGCCGAACAAAAGCCATACAACATCAGGCGCATCATGAAGAGGATCGTGATTTGTTTTGTGTCTGAGTCCTTGTGAGCCTTGTAGACAACGGCTCTTGAAGGCCACGGGAAGCGCCCAACAAATTCAAGAATCACTCCGAATAGAAACGCAGTTCGATGCATCAACATCTAGCAGTTGGAACTTACTCCATCATACTCCCAACATCTTCTAACTGATATGTTCGAATCCGTCCTCGAAGCCATCCATCTCAAGGGCCTGACAAATCTCGACTCCTCGACATTCTTCGACTCGTCACCCACACTGTCCCGACATCGCTGTCGCCTTTTTGGATGACGGACTTCAATCATGTTCCATCAATTTTCTGCTCGTTGGGTGTGGTGTCCAAACGAAACATTCATAGCACGGAGGGGGATACATAGTAAAAGGATGTAAGAGGTATAGTCATGTACAGTCCCACCACCTGAGAAGGTGGAAACGAAACCCAGGAGGAACACGCAGGTTCCTGTCCCATCGGCCACGCGCCCCGCCACGGTAATAGCAAAAAAACATAGACCAAAACACAAGACTGCAGAAACACACCGTGATGCAAGAAATGCCGTGCACTTTCGTGCCCCATGTTCAGTATGCTGCAACTTCTAAATTATTGGTGGAACAACCTTCACTGCTGTGGTGGATATGACTGCCCAATGCCCTGGTCTTCCTTTTTGGGTTTTCTGCTTGGACTGCTGTCCCCACTACTGCCGCTGTTGCCATTGGCTCATTTTCCGCGGCGGCTCCATATTTCTGCTATGTTGACCGGGCAAAACTGAAAGCAGTGGTCTCGGGAAGTCATAGGACTCGTCTCAGCAAGTGACTGGTGTAGGGCACGTTCCATAAATGGATCTAGTCATATAGCCGCTATGTACATAGTCACTGACATAATATTTGGCTATGTTCACATGTCAATAGAATGGCTTTTGACTAGCAATGTCTACTAATCTCGGGTAGTAATGATGCTAGTGATGCAATACCTCCATCACCTTGCATCTTTTGCATCACCAAGCCACCAAAACGAACCTCCGTAGAAAAGTAAAAACACCACCAGGCTAACATGGTTTACATGCACTTCCCCCTACCCCAATAACAACTAACTTCAGCCTATCGGCTGGTTTTCGCAAAAAAGTCCCTTAGGGGATGCCGATTGAGCCTTTTGGAGATCAATCATGCTAAAGGCCAGACGGATCCAAAGGGCCTTTATGGGCCTTAAGGACAATCTCACTCAGTTGGGAGTGAACTTGACAACGGAAACTTATTCTCAGATCCACTGTCTGGCATCTTCCTCGCTTAGATCCACCTCATCCAGCGAGATCTGAGGCTGCCGCCAGCTCAATGCGATCATCCTGGCGCTCGAGCAAAGGATGCCAAACACTGCACCCTTTAGTGGTGGGGCAAAAGGCCAGACTCACTACTCACAGTTCTACACCTGCAAAATCCATCTGAATGCTCTTGGTACGGAAAAGCTGCATGTGATGTCAAGGACTCGGAACCTAGCATATTTAATCATTTTTACTCCACCACTCGCGCTGGCTCTCTTTGTCCATCCCCACCGCATACAAGTACCTGGCACAACGCCACGTGAAGAGAATCAGCTGATGCAGGAAATGCTGGCTCACGTTCTCGTGAGTGAGTTCTGCGCTTTAGATCAAGCACGGAAGCGGCGACTCAACTCAAGCAGCTGAGCCTTTCGCAGGACTCTCCAGGAGAAACGGTTTCGGAGCCAACGGATGTCGATCATCGAGGTCTCTTCGACAGAAGCACAGCTCTTGGAGGCCGTGCGGCAGGCGTTGAACTTCGGGCGTGGCAGTCATCGTGGTCATCCTGGTCACACCAGTCGGCGTGGCCCTAAACAGTGGTGCGGCGGTGCGGCAGTCGATCTTCGTAGCGGAAAGGAGATCCGGTAAATGCTCTTGCCCAAATGCTCAAGCGCCCAGGAAGTTCACTTGACAGAGATCCCTGCGAATTGAATCTTCGACATCTCTTGACATATCGACGTCTCGCGGATGTCTCTCAGATCTCCAACATTGCACCCTGGCTCCAAAGGATGACCAAGATGTTGGATCCAACATCTTTGTGGCACAAACATCTGCATGTGATCCAACATCTGGCTCCTTTGATGCAGACCCTTCTCCCTGTGATGTCGGATCCCCGGATGCATCTGATCCAACGGCTGCGGCTGCAGACCTCTTAAGTACAAAGAGGATCCAAAGGCTGCAGGTCGCAGCGGCTGCTCGAACAGCGGCGCAGCCTTGGAAGGGCTACGAATGGAAGAACCACAGGCCCCCTCCAGCGCCCCGTAATTAGGTCGTTTTGGTTAGTTGTTCAAAGTATTTGTTTAAGTTTATGAAACGCATCCAACATCAAAAGGTTCTGTATTCAAGCAGAAGCGATCTATTTTGTACCTGGACACTTGAGAAGGTGTGACGAACATTGTCCAGGAATCACATCAAACCACCTGTCTTTATGGTCCTGAAACCGACCTCTTGGAAGGTCCCATGAGGCGGTTTCCTGTGTTGAGACATGTTGTCATTTGACCAACACCTATATGTGATCGTTTTTCGCTGTCGGTACCAAGGCCCCGATCCGCCGGATGATCCGCCGGAAGATCCAGCCGGTGGATGCCACACTGACGTGGAGGGAGTTCGCCATCGAGGTTCTCCAGTCAGGAAAGCCGAAAGATCTACAAGTGAATGAGCCAAACGAGCCAGGCCCACTGGATGTGGCTGTTGAGGTGAAACCTCTCTTCTTTTTTTTCGGGGAGAAGAATCCAAGAGCACGCCTAGCTTTTGGGATCCATGTGTGCAACACTGGACACTGTTGGTCTGGTATGTTCCGGTGACACCCAGCAAATGCGCAACATGCGGAATATGCTAGCTGTATATAGCTGGTGCAAGAGATGCATCACTCATCACTGTCATCACCTACATACGTAGGATCCTTTCCAAGGTGTAGTGTGTATGCACATCAAAGGAAACTTCGGAGAGATTCTGAGAGGCTCTCAGGATGGATCATGGGCCTGCAACTCTGTAGCAGGAAACCTGCATACAGTGTAAAACCTTCTAATATCCTCTATACAAACTTCACAAAAGAAAGGTACATCCTCTTGCTTAGACCTACAATTACGATTTGTCTTGCTACTGGGGGCCACCTTGTTCTTGCTGCTCCTCCGAAATACAAGCAAGGAATTGTTTCAGTTTGGGATCCAAATGAAAAGGGATCAAGCCCACAACAAGAAGTTTCCTGGAACTTTAGTGCTTCAAGGAATCACTGGATGGTAGGTCGGTAGCTGCGTCCAAACAAATGCTTCAATCAATTGTTGGGCGGTTCCCCTCCTCATTTGCTATCACACTCAATACGCTCAATACGGGTAGGGACTCATTCGCCCCCAATACACTGACTCTTTTGGTCAACCATGCCCCACTAACAAGAGTGGATGCTTGGGAGATCCCCCTCTTTCGTTTCGACCACCCATCTATGGAATATTGACCCCAGGTCAACCACCCCAATGTAGGATACATAGGCGTGGCCTCCCATGGATGGTCTTCGTTCTTCGACGCCGCCAAACCGCCCAGCCGTGGTCGCGCACGTGGGCCGAGCTAACCGTCGCGCATGTCAAGCAACGGTGTGCTGTTACAGCAGCAGCGGCAGGAGCGGATCTCCATGGCCGTGAAAGGGTCAGCCTCGGTAGATCGAGTCGACGGCTGGGTGGAGATGGGTCGGTGGGAGAGCTGGTGGAGAGGGTCGGTCAACACATGGTTTTGTTGATCCCCCAAGTCATGGATGATGGATGGATGGATATGATATTCTGAAGAGTGACCAGGGCACGGCAAGATGGGGCATAGGCGTGCATTGGGGAGATAAGGACTGACTTCCTTGAGCTTTGGTTCTTGATGATACTTGCAACCTCTACAACACCTCACACTCCTTTATATACTTGGGGTGTCTGGACTGGGCAAACCACCTTGCTAGCTAGTTTCTGTCCAGAATCAGAAGGTAACAAAATTAAACCTGAGGAGGTTTCTCATCCCAGCTGTGTTTCCCCCTCCTGCCAAACTCAGTGTGTTTTGTTGCTTGAAGTGACAAGTCAGTACAACAGCCCTACCCACCACCCGCTTTGCAAACAGCTACTGCCGCCGCTGCCTTCTTCTTATTTTTGTTATTATTAGTTTCGTTCTAGAAGGCACACACCAACAAAAATGACATTGTAGTATATCATAATCATAATATTGATATATGTAATATAGATATATATGGTACCCCCCAAAGATCAACCTGTTTCAAATGTTTGCAATAACTTTTCCAAGCAAACGTCTCAGGGAGAACTATATATATATATATATGTTGCTTGAAATAGAAGATCTGTCAACCGTTTTTGAATTGGTGGGATACCTTGTCCCCCAGCGGGTCACCCGGCCCCAGCGCTAACCTCAGGTGATGAAGATTGATCGTGTGCAAGAAAAGCATTAATGAGGTATGTATGAGGTTGTCACTTGGTCACAGGCAATCACTGAGATTGATATTGTGCAAACAATCTCTATGATCAATGAGGTATGTTCAATGCTCCCCGCGTGCATTTGCTCTATCCCTTGTCTAATGGTGTTCTTCTTCTAGACTGCCAAAACCAAAGCCCAACACAAAATAGACAAGACTCTGAGGACAGTTGGTGGTTTCGGCCTGAACAGTTTGCTTTGTTGGTTTTCATTGCCTTTTTTGCTTTCTTTTGGTGTCCCTCATCTAAAAACAAAAACCTATGTTGTTTGTGCTTTTGCTTTGGTCATATATGTCTATGCAATCACCAATGCCCAAAGACAAGAACACATTTTGTTTGTTTTCGCTTACTTTTTACAAAAAAACACACACCTTGTGCTGTTGTTGGTGTGTTGTGATTCAAGGCTGCATAGACCAAAGCAAAAACAAAAAACACATGTCTTGTGTCGTTTGATGAAGGAAACAAAAAACTCAATGAAAACAACACCAACCAAAGACCCCCCTCAGAGTTTGTATTTGTTGTTTTTGGTTTTGGTTTGGGAATTCCCAAAATACGGAGCCACTTTGGAGACATAGTTTGCAGTTTTGAACATGTTGTTTTCCTCAAGAAATCCAACAAATTCAATATATATATATATAATGACTTCACGTCATGGATTAAGTCTTAATAAGCATTGTTGTCTTTTACCAAACAGTCTTAGTGCGATGGATTCTTTTGTGTGGGTCATATTTGTAAGTTTATATTCTGAATGTTGAACTCAGTAATATCCATGTCCTTAATGGATACCCCTTCTCAGTCATCTCATCTCTGGCTATAATCTTTCATAAAGGACATTAATGCATTCCCTCAGCATGCATACATTGCCTATGCAGTGGCCTTTTTCAATGCCTTGTGCCAGCATCAAAGGGTGTGTTTGTATAATAATGCTAGATATCTACATTAGCAGTTGCATCTGTCAAATAGTCATTCAATAGAAACATTGTTTCACAATTCTTTTCTATTTGCTCAGACTCTGATTTTGATGCAGCCTAGGTTGTCATAATACATTGTAAGTCCTTCAACAATATAATTCAAACATTCTTTATCATCATTGAGCACTTTTTTACAGTGTATATCATATTGATGATTTTGTTTGAGAACACGTTGGTGCGTCTTCTGCATGGTCTTGTTTGAACGTTCTCTTGGGTAAGATCCTTAGGAAAGTAATTTGTATATCGAAAGCTGACAGTGAAATAAAAAAACTCCTTGATGTGCATAATCTTAGAGGACCAAAATCAACAAAACAAGGTCTTCTTATCCTTCCTTTTCTTTGCGCCTATCAACCTTGTCTTTTGCTCCTATCTTCTGGCTTTCACAAAAAATATATAACACTTGACACATTATGAACATATAATCTCAACCCCCTGCATGTTCTTTGCTGCTTGTAGATCCATCTATAGTATTTACTTAGACATGCATGCGAGAGGCAAAAATGGTAGATCTTTTTGGGGGGCTTGCGTACATATATATATAGTTATTAATATATGTATATATATATTATGTTAAGTTATATGAGCAGCGGACAAAATTACTTGTGTAGCGCAATACCATTTGACATGATTATCGTTTTTGGTGGGGTCCATATCGTTCTCCAATGTTTCTCCAAACCGTAGTTAGCATAGCATACCAGCACATAGGCTAAAACACAAAATATGACTCACAACCTCAGATTAGAGGCTTACAGTGCTTTCTGCACAGGAATGGCGCAGCACTTGATTTATGCACTCGGACCAACACTAGTAATGTGGAGAAGTAGGTCTACGGAGTGCCTGGCGTGACATTTAGGTTATCGTTCGCTTATCGTTTGGATTATCG